ATCCATAATTTCACTGTGCTGTACATTACTCCTCATTTTCTCTGTCAATACTTGGTTGCAACTGTTCTGTTGATACAATAAATAAGTTATTTATGTGAGCGTTCTGTACGGTTTCAATCAAAGTCAAGTGAGCCGTCGAGTAAGATCTCTAATACCCCACTCACCCCTCCCCTTGATGACGTTTATCATGCCCAACCCTTTCTGTGCACAGATGGCACATGATAGAAAAGCGATTGCGGTTGCTACGCCTAAGTTGATCTTCGGGCACGTTATGCGCTGGAGCTGGTGTTAAAACCGTTGCTATTCCTACGCAAACGCAAAACTTAAGCGGGGCGAAGTTACTGACAGGGTCAAGCGAGGCGTCGAGGAAAATTCGGAAATACGACCCCCCCCTCCCCAGAGGCCGAAGTCCATGAAACGACCCTCTTCAAAAGCCGAACTATGAAAAGGTTGTTTAATTCTCCCCAAAACTGTTCATAAAAAAGCCCTGCTACCCCACCGTCCACCAAAAAATTCGTTTAAGAAGTACAAAAGTGAAAAAGTCAAAGAATGATCATTATTGATGAAACGAGCAAACGAGAAACGGAGCAAAAAACGACAAACTAGTCACTAAAAATGGCATACTATGACAACATCTCTTCTTTATTTATTTCCTTTGGAAGGCTTGCCATATTTTATTGGGTTGTCCGGAAAGTTCTCGCCGTTTTTATAGCTCACTTTTGAATGCTTTATTTCTGGGTCACTTTCGAGAAACTGCTAATGCTTTATATATCTTTAGAAAGCGCATTTCCCGCTCTATCTATATCTACTGTTTTTCACCTAAACCGCTTTTCCAATTTTTCTTTGGAGTCTTGAAGACAACCTACTCAACAGCCTGCTTTGCACTGGTTTCTTGTTTCCCCTCAAACTTGCTCGGAAATGTGCGGAAGCAAGTATTGACATTCGGTTCTGAGTCCACAAAAATACGCTGTGGAGTCGTGATTCAAAAAGGCTTCCTCGCGATGTTGAA